AGATATTCATTATATCATTGCGAAATAGGAAGAGTTTCATTTGAAAACATATTTTCCTCAAATTAAACCCATCAATTCATCGACAACGTTTAGAATTGGCGATGCATTTATATTACCTGATGAGACTGATGAAATATAAATACTGACAATGAAATATTATGATTCATCATGATGATATTTCATCATATTAGAAGTTTCATCATTATAAAACAACATTTATCCACAAGCATAGACCAGTGTTAAAAAGACCACAGACTGGACAAGATGTATCTTATTCTCTTTGTGGATATTCAGAATTGATGCTTTCAAAAGATTCCCTTAACCACGAAATTATCGTAACAATTATGAATCAAACCAAACTTTAAAGAAACAAAAAGAGACAATAACCCCGAGAAGATTTAACACACACAAAACCAATATTGTAAATAACATCACAGATTTGTCATTAATTTCAACACTTGGCTCAATGTCTTATTGTTCCATATTATTGTTGTCCGTTTTATTCATTTAGTTTTCAGTATAAAAAAGGGAAATGAAATCTTCTGTCAACTATTAATACATGTAATATGGGGTAACTTACATAAACCACCCAAACACCTCGTTACATAATTGATAGTTAATGTAATGACAAGGACTTAATAAATTACTATTTCTTAGGTTAATCTATAAAGCCATCTCCTTTGTTCTTGTGATAATCATGCGCTTTTAATCCAGAGTAGAATATTTTATGGCATTGTACAAAGTGGAAGGTTAAAGAAAAGAAAGAAGCAACAAATCGGCCGTTTATAATAGCCAAGAAATGGTCGACTGCATACGAATTTAGATCTTCCGTTTTATTATATATTCACACAAACACAACCTCTCAACACAAATACATTTACACCCACAACAAACATGTATGAGTGTGTGAGTGTTTAAGAGAGATAGGGAGACGAAAGGCGAGAGATAGGGAGACGAATGGAGAGAAAGAGAGAGAGAGAGAGAGAGAGAGAGAGAGAGACAGAGAGATGTATGTGTACTTACATGTTGACCTGATATAAATTTAATACTAGTAAATGTAAAAATTCATCTTTAAACATCCTCACACGAATCCGTTGATAGAAAGATAGATATAAACACACACACACACACATATATATATATATGGTTGGATTGATGTGAGTTTTTGACCCTGGGTTTCACGCTTTTGCGATCAACAGGTTTGTCTGACGATTGCAAAAGCGTGAAACACTGGGTCACACACTCACATCAATCCAACCAAATATGTTAGCTCTATCTCTGATATTGAGCGCTTTCTAATAAGTACCACGCATAATAATATATAAATATATATATATATATATATATATATATATATATATATATATATATAGAGAGAGAGAGAGAGAGAGAGAGAGAGAGATTCTTTTTTTTTATATGTACACAAACATATCTGATTTGGTCCACAATTTATATACCTCTAGATTCTTGACAAAATTCAAAGACGTGTCTGTAATCTAATCGATCCTTGCCTCGCAATTTGGACTTCAATTCTCACCGCGGTAAAATGGCTTCTCTCTGGCCTTTCTTCAATTTTTTTTTTTTTTTTTTTAATTTGAATTAGCTGTTCTCGTTACTGCTGCGACGACATGAATTTAAGAGTGCAATCTAGAAACTAGATATCAACGTTTTAATGTTGAACTCACTAGCTGCAAATCACCAGAAATATTCAAATGGTACACTTTCTCGAACTTCTCGAATGTGGAACTCAATTCTGATTTCCTGCTTCCCAGATAACAACAATGTCCAAATATTTAAACGCTGTTCCATTACTGTCCTTTTCCTCACTTCTCCTCAAAAAATCTTCTCATTCATGATTTTAAAACGATGAGAGAAAGAGAATGAGTGATGTGAACTGAGTGCTAGACATATAAAAAAATCCTTAGATAGATAGATAGATAGATAGATAGATGAACAGATTGAGATAGATAGATAGATAGATAGATAGATAGATAGATAGATAGATAGATAGATAGATATGGACAGACGGGGATAGATAGATCGATATGAACAGACTGGAATAGATAGATAGATAGATAGATAGATAGATAGATAGATAGATAGATAGATATGAACAGTCTGGGATAGATAGATAGATAGATAGATAGATAGATAGATAGATAGATAGATAGATAGATAGATATGAACAGACTGAGATAGATAGATAGATAGATAGATAGATAGATAGATAGATATGAACAGTCTGGGATAGATAGATAGATAGATAGATAGATAGATAGATAGATAGATATGAACAGACTGGGATAGATAGATAGATAGATAGATAGATAGAAATAAACTGGCGGTGTGTGTTTTGCGTGTTTTGCGTAGAGAGGAATGTTATTTGAATGCCAGGCACATATGGATAGTTTTTTAGCACTTCGATTTTGCGTAACGGTTAGCGAACATGTCTCGCTAAATCAATTACGACTGAATAGAAAGTTCGATTCTAACTGGTTGCACCAAAATTCTCGACCTTGTACCACATCTAAGCTAAGCTTAGAATATCATTTCTGGGCACTCGATATGATGTAATGTTTCACAACCTTGTCTAGCTAAATCAGCTATAAATGAATAGTGAGTCCTAGCCTCACTGGGTGCCCCATATTTTCGGCCTTGTGTCACATAAACGTTACGCTTCAAATATCACAATATTAATAGTCTTAGATAGATATGAACTGGTAATGTGTGTCTGTGTGTACAGTGAGAGAGGAATGTAGACAAATGAATAATCTTAGAATATCTTAGATAGATAGATAGATAGATATCGTGAAATCTAATAGCCAGTCTTTGATTTATTGCCTCAGTTAAGTTTAACACATCTAATCTCGGTGAAGCACCGAATGAACACTTTCCTAAGTGTCGAGAACCGGAGAAGCCACCAAAGCTTTTACAGGATTAAAATCGATATTTTATTTTTCAATACATTGCACCAATTCAACCGATCGTAGTGACGAAATTGCTGCTGTAAAATCGGCTCTTTCGATGTTTCATTTCGACTGTACATTCACGACACATGGTTGGTGAAGAAAGCGAATAGCACCAACCCACGCCAAAGACCTTCTTTCTACTCACGGGATTAAATGAACCCGCGTGTGTTTGTCGCCACGGGAATATGGAATCGTTACAGCTATAAAATATCTATATAGGCGCGTGTATATTTACGGGAAAAGGAACACGAGAAAATTTCAGCTCCCTCTTGTAAAGATAAGTGCGGTGTGTCAAATGGCTTGTTTAACGCGTGAGATCAAAATTGCTTTATCCGGACAGTTTCGTTGTGCGAAGGTATGACATTGGCAGGGTATTTGGCGTTTAATCAACGGATATTGGACGCGTTTAGATAATCTAAAATCACAGGATTTACTTTTCCTGTTGTTGCTCATATACCGTGAGGTGGACTAATATATGCTGGACTCATCCGCCTACTATAAGATTAGTAGGAGAGAAGGCCTTAGGGGAACAGTCGAATCGATTGAACGCTGGTCAACCGACTCACACTCGCTAGTCGTGTAATCCTCTTCTGTCGTATTTACTGTTTGATATATGATATATCTGTAAAACTTGTTTTCTTATTTCTTACACCATCTACTTGGTCACAACATGGATAGAAACACGGATTGGTGAAAAAGAGAGCTGTGTTCGAATTCCAGCTGAGATCATTGCATACACATACATGCCAATAAACCTTGGGAAAATAATGAATTACTTGCTCCAAGCTGTGAGTGAATAGGAAGAAAAGATTGGAGCCTAATCTCTTGTTTAGCAAGGAGTTCAGGAGAATTAAAACGAGCCTGCTGAGTTGTAGGTCCCGCCTCTTTAGACAAAAGCTTCAAAAATAAATCCAACTCTTACTGCCCATCCTACTTCAAGCCGCCACAGAAAATAAACGAGTCCTCGGGCTTAGTACAATGGTTCGAACAAAAGAATGACTGGGACTCGGCTCGGCGACCTGGACTTCTTTGATTTCGGACTGTATCTCAAACGGCACTTCAGGTGATTTGACTCATGCGCCATTTCATTTTTTTTTTCTCTTTCAGCTGATGATTTCTTTGCTTTCATTCTTAGATTAGATTTTTTAAAATTTTCTTATAGCTTTACACCTATGATCTTATTACTTTATTCTTATAGCATTACACCTAATATCTTATTAATTTATACTTATAGCTTTACACCTATCGTATTATTTACAGCTTTACACCTAAGATCGTATTACTTTATTCTTACAGCTTTACACCTATCTTATTATTTATAGCTTTACACCTAAGATCTTATAATTTTATTCTTATAGATTTACACCTAAGATCTTATTACTTAGGTTTTTCATGTTTTTTTTATTATTATTATTAATTTCACTGATTTTGGTAATTCTCTCATTTTATCTAATTTTTCCTACACATTCAACTCATTTTCCTTCATTATTACTTTTATTTGTTCAATACTTTCTCATTTCTTTTATCATTCAAATCGCGTTACGATTCGCTGTTTCTAATACACATTTATTTACTCATATTGCTTTCCCTTTATTTTATTGTTTTTGTAGTCTACCATATATCATACACACATTTGCCAATTCAGACCAACATTATATTTCTATATTCATAATGAGGCCATATTATTATATATACCGCTTAGTATCAATTTAAGAAAATTGGTTTCCTCAATGTTATTTGTTCACATCAAAAATCTTCACTATATTATTGAGACTTGTTGAATTTAAGAGCAGTACTAGACAGCTGAGAAATGTCACCAATGTACGGTTGAGCTTTTTAGATGTAACCATAAGTTCTATGCTAACAGTTTCTTTTCTTGCTTGTGGATCTCTCTTTCGGTTTCATGATTTCCAGCCATCTTCAATAATATAAATACAATATCAAGTGCTATCTACTGCTGTCCTGATGGCTCTCGTGTACTCGCTACTTCGTAATTTTGATGTTATTTTTTTTAATCCTTCCTCTTGTCTCTTTATGGTTCTCCTGCCTTGCTTGGGGTGAACCCAATTAAAAATATTTCTTGAATATTCTGCCTGTATTCATTATTTCCTAAAAGTCAAATATTCTTAGAATTATATTGGCAAAAATTACACACGAATAAATCACGTCACTGCGGAATGAACACGGTATTAATGTTAAATAAAACTGCTTGCTAAGACTTCCATTATGATGAGGCAGAATTGCCAGTTGGAGCAATATGTAGCGAATGAGGTTACGTTTGAAAATAAAACGATTGAAAATTTAGATTGTTTTTTTTCCATTACGTTTTCATGCATACACGGTGCGATGGATAAATTGTCGTCTAAATATTACACAAATGAAAATAATATTGGCATGTCATTTTAACCGATATATTTAACAAAATTACACAAAAAAACTTGACATACTAAAGAGTAAAATTATTTAATAAAATCGCCATTGGCTTCAACTACGGCCGCCAGACGACTTCGGAATCTACTGCAACTCTTCTGGACGTTCTCTTTGTTTAAGTTGGTGAATGATGACATAGTCCTTAACTTCATATCATCTTGCAAGGACATGTGTTGGTCTATCGCTCAACTGTTCCACACACAAAATAATTAAGGTAAGTGCAGTCTGTTGGAATTATGTGGTCAGATGTAAGGGGTGATGTGGGCGCAGGAAGTTTCTGACAGGCATGACTGACTTCTCCATCTTGTATAGCATGATGTTGAGTTCTGTTGCCAGATATAGCGTCTTCCAGCAGTTACTCTCTGGGACCAGAGCGACGCTACCTCCACAAGGCTTTTGATGTCGACCTCCGCTTTGAGTTTGAGGAAATGTGTGTATATGCACACCTTCATAATCACCATTATACTCATCCAACTCTTTCCGAATTCTCTTCTGACCCTCAAAAAAACACTGAAATTTTCATATTGGATCTTCCGGAGTAAACGCCAAGCAGTACAGCATGCTGTTCCAAATTTTGTCGAATTAAATTGCACCATAGTGCTCTTTTTCTTACAGATGGTGCCCAACTGACCCGAATATACTGCGCAATCTGCAAAATAAAATAAAAAATGTCCATTCACGAAATTAAAATTATTCAATTGCGACAGTCTATTTTTTTTTCTTTTAAGGGTCGTTCCTTTATCTTAGAGCATCCATTATAATCAAACACTGATTTTGAAATATTGCTATGCATAAAATTGGCTGTAAATGGATAACTCTGGATAAAATGTTATTATGTTTTAAAGTATATGCATTTGTCTACATCCCGTTATTTTGACAAAATTGACAGTATTAAATAGTCTACGGTGACATTCATTCGGCACATCGTGTTAGAAGTTGGTTTCCCATAGGAAAAGTATTGAAGGTTCAATTCCTTACAGGAAGACACATTGCCTTTTATAAAACTTTAGATCATATATGCCATTAGATTTTAGGAGTACTGTTTCTAAGAGAAGTGTCAGCTAAAACACATGCAATCATTTTAATAAGGAATGTACTAAACAAAAACACTCGTATGCATGTACGTGTGTTTTTCTAAAAAGTAGTGTCTGTTTGTGTAATAAGAATGTTGCTTGTTTATTTGCTCATTATAATCGATGTTTGGAAAACGCAGGATCAATGATTTGGATAGTAATTTTCAATGCAAACAGTATAGATTGCCTCGACGGAATCATCAGTACAATGCACACTTCCTCTCTTTAAATTGTTTGTAACCAACTCTTTTTCGTAAATATCTTGGTTTGCTTATCAAGCATAGCTTACCCTGGCGCCAAAAAATTAATGTCTTCAGCACCCTTTCAGAATCAAATTCATCACAGTCAGTTTCCTTCCAGTGATTTAGCAAAGACAGAGATAAGGCAGATAATGTGGTATGCAGAGATGGAGTGAGAGTCTTAAAGATTAAGCGATATCGTCGATTTAACCTTTGACTTTATTTTTATAATTACATAAATCTGATATTCCATTACGTCATTTTTCTTTTATGCTTTTGTCGTTTATCCTAGATTTTTTTTGTTTTTTGTTTTCTCTTTTATTAATGTCTGCCAAATCCCCTATGACTTTATTTTATTTTCTTTCTTCTATTCAACCTCAAGCGACATAACTTCTTCACACTCTTTCTTTTTGAAAAGATTTCAATATTCTCTTATTTATTTATTTTACCGCATTAAGGTTTTTCCAGCGTTCTTTCTTTCTTAAATTCTCATTAACTTTAGTATTACTATTTGTCCATCGCGTATCATTTTTCAGTCTGCCAATTTTCTCTTTCCACTCTCTCTGAAAAAAAACAAAAAAAAAACAAAAAACAAACATATTCTTAATTATTTCATACCAATATTGGATTTGCATTTTATGGCCATTACTGTTATTGTTGCTATTCCAACCGAACGTTTGATGCAAGAGCCTCCATTAAGGGTCCTTTCCCGCCCCCTCGATTTCATTCTGAGCACTGCTAAAGGCAGCTATCCGGCCGCCTTTGTAATGATGCAATACGAATTCACTTTTGTCTCACAGAATTTTTTCAACAAGATAACACATTTTTTACAAATTTGCATTTTTCTCAAGCATTTTTTTTAATCATCTTTTATTTATATTATTTTTATTATTTTATCGCTGGCACAACAGAAGCTCGTCCAATATATTCCCTGATAGCACACAGATATAAGCTTGCTCGACTGCTTGCCTGCTTGGTTAAAAAGATAGTCATATGTTATCATTACAACACAGGGATCGTTGTTTGAGACAGAGAAGAAAACAAAATTTTGAATATACATTTTCCAGACAGAAAATGTATAAAAATTGCAATATTGGCAGCACAATAATATCTAAATTCCCTATTGTCCGTGGGCTGTATTCAAATAAGTGTATAAAATATTATAGACTGTAGGTCCGCTTTAAAAAAAATAAAATTCTCTGAAATTATGCCAATGAGTTTCTGAACGATGTTCGAATACTCTATGGGTATACTATTCACTATGTAAGCTGCAGTTGCCACCTTACGATTTAAATCGCATATTTAGCCACATTGATGTGCTATGATATAGCGAAACAGCCTGTTTGTGGATGGCTATATATATATATACGTTCAGAGCAGTTAACATTAAAAAGATTTTAGAGTGCCATGAAAATAAGTGGATACAACGTCTAAAAAAACAATATCCAGCCGGGCTAAACCATAAATTTAACAATATAGATAGTACTGATATATAACTCAACAAGTCAACCCTACCTACGTTGCTCACCCACACAAGACAGACATGCTTACGGAGGTGTGGAGGCCTCACACTTATACACACACCCACACGAATATACACACTTACACATACCATACTCACTCACTCCCTAATGAGCCAAATGATAACACACACCCACAGCAATACATATGCTTACACATATCATAGTCACTCACTCCATAAGAACCAAATAACACACACACAAACACTAAACAGAGACACATCCCCTCTCCAGAACCAATAAAACTGTCAAAATGACCACGGGAATTCAGATTAGCATGAATCCATCCAGCTCTTATCTCAAATAACAACATAAAAGAGACTGTTTGACCAACACAAGGAATGTTTAAAGATTCACGTTAAAAAGATAAAAAAAATGAAAACTACAGACAAAAGTTCATTTTCTCCATCAAGACATTCATTTCTGTAGTTTACTGCTACCAGCAAGCAGAAATATTTCTCCTCCAGATGATGGCAATTTTGGCCGAAACTAGTCGAGGAATCTAAATGAAATAATAATAAAAAAAAACGAAAGAAAATTAATCTACAACCCAGTGTTTCTGAAGATTTAAAATTTTTAATATCTTTTTATTGTTCAATATATATTTATATATATATATATATATATATATATATATAGTGCTGTTCGATAAAAGTGAATGACCTGATTATTTTACTAAAAGTTCTCTTCTCCGATGAAACGAAAGTTGAGCTACATTCAAAGGATAAGCGATCTAAAATATGTGTGAAGAAGAAGCTTTGAAAACTCTTTGAAGTTAGCAGAAGTCCTGTCAACCATCCGTTCAGTATAATGTTCTGGGGATGCTTTTTTTTTTCATGGAACTGGTTTTAAAAACCTATTGAAAAGAGCCTCAGGAGCGAGCAAATATAAGAGAATTTTAGAGTCTTGTCTGCTCCCTTCTTTTGAAAGGATGCAAATCGATATTTTGAACGCTCATATTTATGCATTATAATGTTCCCTGTCACAAATAAAATTATATGAAAGAAATACTTTGATGAGAAGCAGTATTGTTATGACATAAAAATTTTAATCTCCTGATTTCCATAGAAAACTTATGGAGCATGGTGCACAATTGCTTTCTGGAGAGCCTGTACTTTATAATGCTCCATAAGTTTTCTATGGGGTTGAGGTCAGGGGATTAGGGCGCCCATGTTGTAACACTCACCTGCTTCTCATCAAAGTATTCCTTCATCAATGTTGATTTGTGATCACAATGCCTTGTCTGCAGACCAATGGAAGCATGTCATATTCTCAAATATGTCCAGTTTTTCACTTTTCCCAACTTATGTGTGGAGGCAGCCCAAAGAAGCTTACAACTCTGACTACCTTCTTCTATCAGTGAAGCATGGAGGTGGATCAGTTTGGGCGGCTATATTATGGGAATGTCTCAGTCCACTAGAATGGTAGAATCAACAGCAAAGATTACTGGAACGTTTTGAGAGATCACGTTCATCCAATGGCCAAGACTTTATTCCCTGATGTTGATTGCATCTTCCAAGACGATAATGCTCCAATACATATAAAAGCTTGAGTGGTTAAGAATTGGTATGAAGAGCAAAGCTAGAACACATTGTGACGCCTACACAATCTCAAGATATATCAATATTTTGAAAATTTGTGGTAAATTTGAGCAACAAGTAAATTAGCCGCTATCCTCCACCGTCGTGATTGTAAAGAGCTGGAGAATGTTCTAATGGAAGAATGATTAGAAATTCTCTGGATGAAGTCATATATTTTTGTACGATTCCATTCCTAGACGTATTATTAAAAGCTGTCTGTGAGTCTAAAGGACGACCAACTACATATTAAATAAATTTGCTTTTGAATATAACAAGTGTTCCAATTATTTTTGTCCATTCCCTCTATATATATATATATATATATATATATATATATATTTATATATATATATATATATATAAACAATGAAGAAAATGGATTAAAACCAGGTGAAGATAGAGTAAGAATATAATATAAAAGACTCAAACATTAATAATCAATGATTATAATTTATAACATAATCACGATCCAATTCATCAGACCTACCAATTAAAAAAGAAAACAGAACATATCTCTTCGTGTATAAAAAACTCAGTGAAAGTGTATGTGTGGGAGTGAGAAACAGGAGTACGAGGGAAATGTATAAAAGCTCTAGAGATTAGGTGTAACGAAGGAGAAGAGAAATTTGAATGGGACAAGTTTTAAAGAGAGAAGTTAAATAACGGTTTAATTGAGTGAGTTACAGATAAATATCAGTTGTTATTAGTTGCATAAATCGAAAAAATCAATATATATATATATATATATATATATATATATATATATATATATATATATATATATATATATCATTATTTTTAATAACGTTTTTTATTTAAATCTTGTTATATTAATTCTATTATAATATTATAAATGAGAATTTATTACAAAATTCATAATAATAATATATATATATATATATATATATATATATATATATATATATATATATAAATTATTTGTGTGTGTGTATTGTAATATTTATTGTGTGTGTGTGTATTCGTGTGTGTAATGGGGGTATTTGATGTTATATATTTGTGATATGAAATTTTTTTCTTGTTTGAACACTGTGACATACGACGGACATATTGATATTTCTTACATTTGCAAGATTGTCTATTTGTACATGTAATAATTCTCCTATCGTGTCATTCGTGCCAGTACCTAACCACATACGAACACAATACCCCCTCTTAACCACTGCCTGCTTTTTATTGGACTGGTCAGCCCCCAACTAACCGACAGCAGACGTGTACATCTCCCTTTCTAGTTTTCGTTCACATAGACAAGCCTAGACATAGATTGTTAGTAATACCATGTAATTATGACTGATGGGTGTTATCTTTAAACCTAATTTTTAAGGTAAGTATATTGAGTCCGTGCAATTAAACAGAGAAGACATAAAATAAGTAGACATTAATACATCCAACAATCAATTGTGTAATCGATGAATTTTTATAAAACCGATTAAATGTGTTTGGTCGATAGTAAACAAATAAATTTCTTTTTCGTTTTCTTCTTTCTGCCTTTATCTATTTTTTTCACTTTTCGTCTGTCTGTCTCTCTTTCTTTCTAATACCGTTCGTTATCTCTCTTTCTCATTCTCGTTCGCTATCTTTCTCTCACGAAAAACAATCTCATTTTCTCATTCGTCTTCTCTCACTCTTTTACGAACTTGGTTATGCCTCTGTGCCTGTGAATGAGTTCAGTCTCTTAAAACCTTTTTCCGTGCAAAAAATGGGATGATGGTCTATATGATCTTAAAAGTCGGTGTTTGAATCCTAATAATAAGCGCCTGCAAGAAAATGAAAACGGAGTAAAGAATAGGTAATTTCTATTTTCAATCTGCTTATTTGACGTAATTGAATCTATGTACACCCTTATTATATATGTTTGTTTTGTTATATGCGGCTAAGTGTTTGCCGTGTACTTGCACAAGAGTGAATTAAAATATTCTTACCCTGCATATGTCTCTGGTTGTGTGTGTGTGTGTGTTTGTGTGTGTGTGTGTGTTTTTTCATAGGTACATGTGTGTGTTCAATCATTTTACTTAGACAAAAGGCAGAGATTAAATTCAAAATGAATAGCTTTAGATGCCAATCTTCTGGCACTGATCTGCATTCTTCAACCCACTCTAGCAGAGTTTTATAATCCATTCGACTATCACTATTCCAGATTTGTTTCGCCGGCTCCATTGTGTCTAAGATGAAAAACAAAAACAACAAAAAAACATTAAAACAATTTGAATGTAAACATTTTTTTTCAAATGGGCAAATGAAAATACAGTTATATAAATAATTCATTTCACAAGAAGTAGCTTACTTTGCTGCTTTACATATTTTAATCATAAAACTTAATCGCAAAACCGACTTTGCAAAGGTTCATTCAGTGCAACGAAAAGGTTGGAACGCACTAATGTCTCAATATCTATCGTAAAAACTTACATTTAGTATTTGGGAAAATTCTGATGAAATTTAAAAAGGATAAAGTACGATGCATTAGTTCGACGAACGAAGACTAAATATAAATTTGAAACTGATTTTCTACTAGAATACAAAACACAGAACTTGGGTTTTTTTTGTGGTTAACCCTCTGTTAGAGTGGAACACACCTATTCTACAGCTAATAGACTCTCCCACCTATAATA